CCGCCCCCTCAAGAAAGTAATGGTCCGTCCCTTAGGTTCAATGGCAGCCCTCGTTCCCAGGGTAGAGGATACCTTGGTACATGGCTTATCACACAGGCAATTTACTAAAGACCTTTTACGTACCTGTAAAACAGCCCGTGTGGATGCATAGAAAACTTCCTGGAAGCATTGTTTTTAAACGTCACCTCGATCGTGTCTCCGATTTCAGCGTGCAGTATCGGACCCAGTACCCCCAGGTGACGTTCAGCCGCGGTCCTAGTTTTTCTCTTCGTAAACTCAGCACTAGTGTATTCACGGTAAACCACCTTCTTGTACTTTGGACCAATTCGCTTTTCGCCACGCACGGTGAACGTTGAAGCTTCTCTAAAAGAAGGATGACATAGATGAAATAAATTAAAATATGGTAAACCTGGTAACGCAAGGTTTACTCAAGGTGTAAGGAAAAAAACTACACAACCACTATCCTCGAGTCACCTGACCATCAGTAAATTGGGTTTGTGTTATTTGTTTTTGGTTTTGAACATGTGAAGACGTCACAGACCTTACTGAACATTTTAATAATGTACGTATCAGATGGTTTATCCAACCAATAAACGATAAGAAAAAGGTCGATTGTTTATTACAATATTATTAGATGTTTTACCCAACATCATTTTTAATCACGATATCTTTAGTCTCCGCGCGAGATCAGCAATTTTAGCACCCAATCAGCAATACCCCTGCTCACTCTCAGCCACAGCCAAAACTTGAATAGACTGCCCCGTTGAGATATCTCCTACAGCTAAGTTCGTCTGTCCACAGCCGTTTCACATTTTTAACTATAGCCACGCGAGGGAAGCGAGAACGAGCAAAGAAGCGCGAGAGCGAAAGCCCCCACCCCCTTTACTTCACTCGTTCAATCCCTACTTTTTTTACTTCACTCGCGCCCTCGACCATCTCAGAGAAAATAGAGGGTCTGTAAAAAGACTAGAGCTAAGCTGTCTCCTAGAACTGATTCGTTGAATTCCAATACAGCATTTTCGGAATAATTATTGACGCGCCGAGCCTAAGTTCGTGATATATTGGCCCAGGAATCATGAATTTAAATTAACAGCACTACAACGCAAGTGAAGTAAGTGAAAGTAAGCCTAAACCTTTCATTCTCGGGTCAAACCTAAACCGTCAACTAAAAACCCATAGTATGGAGAAAAAAGAAGTACCTATTTCTTGATAGTTCAAATAACTGGGGATAAACGCTTCTCTCAGTCACTCGTGGTCATTTTGTACATCGTCACGCAACCTCTCTCCTCTCAAAAAGGTTACTTGCGTGACCATTATCACTCTTTAGATGGTCACACGACGCTTATTCTTCCATATCAAAGCGTTGCATGACCATCCAAAGACAGTTTTCATAACAAAGACGTGAGAACTTATACTGACTCGCTCTCGCTAAGCGTTACATCATCTATGAGGTCTCTTCCACTTGGTGCGTAGTCCCATTCCAGCTCAACCGCCGCTATATAGTACCGACGAACCTTCCCAGGTGGCATCGTGGTCGGCGTCTTCCCACAAGCCTTCACGGTGTATTTCGCGAGCATCCCAGCAGAGTAATGATCATTGGTTCTGCAGACTATTGCCCATTCTCCCAAGTTATCTGGAGTCATTCCCAACGTTGCGAAGACTCCTGAAATGAGATAGACAATAAATACATGTAAGGGTTTCTTTGTTTTAACGCTGTCGAGTGACACCCGCGTGTCATCAAATAATTATTAGAGAGCTTAAAACCACGACGGCAACGGCAAGGAGAACGACACCAAACAAAAGGTTTAATTAGTAGGACAATGGCTGTGCACATGCGTTACAAATCTTTGTACATTTCTTTGCCGTCCTCTGCACAACAACAACAAGAAATGAATATAAGTTCCCCGTATTTTGGAGAACGCGAAAGACGGCGGCTAGTGTTTCGTGTTTTCATTTGGAATTGAACGCTGTCGTTACATATTTAGCTTGAGCAAGTTCTGAGACCAATAGGCTCAGTGAAAAGATCTAGACATCTGGGAAATTCGAAGGTAAAATATAAATTCATACAAAAAATATTTTGATAAAATATAAATTCATATAAATTCATTCCGAAAATGTGAGCAACAAGTAAAATGAAGGCAGGTATTATCCGCCCTGTAGTTATTTTTTCACATATCTACGAGGGATTAAAAGTAGGAACTGCGTGCTTGTAGTCTAACCCCACCCCCACCTCCTTCACCATTCCCCACTTACGAAACAGTCGCAATCCGTTTTGAGAAAATAAGACATGTTTCCGTACAAGATACAACTCAAAACAAGCAGATGGTCCCAGAGGCCTTTCTATGTTTTGTCTATGTTACCTGGTAGAAGGCTAACAGTATCTTTCATATTGCCATTGTATGTAAACGTGTTTCCATAGAAGTAAGCCGTGTGCATGTCCACTTCGTTTCCTAAGCCAATCAAATGCCAAGAAACTCTGTCACCCAAGCACAACTCCAAACCAGGCAGGTTAGCGTACAGATATCCATTAATACCGTGCATTTTGTTGCTTTCCAGATAGTCCTCGTCCTCTGAAATATCGAGAAACATAACACAGTCAACTTCTTTAATACGGGCACCAAAGGGGACAGCTGAGTGCTTGTGTCAGTATATATCATGGAGGCAGTCTTTACTATAGATCCTGGTTTCTCTGGAATTATGTGAACTGGCTGTAATATAGATGTCGGTATTATTGAGGTGTCCGTAGGGAAAGGTTCCAGTATTAATAATTAAAACAGGACAGATCATCTTTTACAAGTGATGAACTATACTGGGAATCCGTCTCACGTTGTTTTGATTCTAAGCGACGGTTTTATGCAATTTTTTCCGGACCACTCTGGCAAGTTTATCATCGTACGTCAAAGCCATTGGGACCGTTTTTTCTGAAGTAAAATTATTGAGAACCTTCAAAAGCACCCTCCGCTCAAAGTTTCTGGTTGTTTAGGTGGTGGGTGGTTGGTTAGTACGTTTCTCTGTTTGCGTGAAAAAAAAACTGGCTTAAATCAAGAAATATGTGTTAATTGACCGCCTTCACAACACGCAACGTCTTCAAGCAAACGTTAGTCCCACTTGGGTCGTCACACAACGCTTCTTACCAGTAGAGGACAAGCGTTGCGTGACGACAGAACTAACGGCTGAGAAAGAGACTAAGTACTAGTCTAAGTGTGTCCTAGATACCAAGGTACGGGAGCGCTGGAGATTAAACGCCGCCAGATCCGATCGCTAGGACATGTCTTTACACTGAACGAGGATCGTATCCCCAAGACTACCCTCAGAAGGACACCAGCTGGAAGAAGGAAGTAAGGGCGGCCCAGAACAACTTGGAGACGGACTGTGATGGCCGAGCTAAAAGGGATGCCTTATATAGGCTTAACATGGGGCTAGGCAAAACATTCTGCAGAGGACCGGGAAACGAATCGTTGACGCCTTATGTCCCACCCGGGATGAAGAGGACTAAGTAAGTAAGAAGTAAGTAAGGTACAGGAGCAACTTCCGACTACTAACTCTTAACGACTACTCTTGTGTCCACATGAGCCCCGAGCCTTTAGCCACGGATCTATTGATTACCGACAAGGGATTGCAGCGGTGATAGGAAAACTAGTCATCGTAACTGCTTACGTTGGTCAACGATCACCAGCGATCACTGAAGATTTAAAAGATCACTTAAAATCGCTGACGATCAGTGACGATCGTAGACGTTCACTAGCAATCAATGACAATCCCCAACGATCAGTGACGAAAGCCTTTCGTCACTCGTCACCGATCGTCACCGATCGTCAGTGACGATCGGTGACGGCCACTCACGATGACTGATGATCATGGCTGATCGTTGACGATCACGTACGACGAATGCCGATTACTGACGATCGTTAACGATCATGGTGGCAAAAAAAGTCTCTAACATACCAACTATCTGATTTGGGTTATTCGCTTTTTTCTTGTTTTCATCATGATACCAAGACTCGCTCTCATCTGTCACGGTGAAGAGCAGCACAAATTCTTTGTCAATGTTCTTCTGCGTGTTGTCATCTTTCAATGTTCCCTTCTTACACGTTAGCAATGGACCAAACAGACCTGCCAAAAAAACCAAATTGCAAATGTGTTTAACACACAAAGTAACTGACCATTCCTCTAAACTAATGTTAATTAAATTACAAAGTTCTTCCTTCCATCAATGGAAACGCAGGGGAATCTCTTTGCGAAGTGAAAATCAAAATATAACGCAAGTATTGCGCGATTAACTCGACTCGTTTAGGCTTTTAGTTTAAGACTGAAATACATTTTATTACTAATCATACCAAAAACGGTCGACGTGCAATGTGTACGAGAACAATTCACCTCCGTGGCTCACGTTCTCTGCCGCAGAATGCAGGACTTCAATTCATGTTGAAGCCTAGCCTGCTAACAGGTTCCCGGCGAGGACGGGAAAAAAACGGCGAGCTAAGCGAGCGGACGAGCGCGAAACTGAAGAATTCGGAGAGCGAAAAGATCGGAGCGGGACGGGGGAGCCCGTAAAATGTGCCTATCCGCCCTTGGTGAATACATGCTCCCTCGCTTCGTTCGCCAAATTCATTTTTTTCGCGCTCGCTGGAGCCTTTTCGCAGGCGAATTGAAGCCTTGCCTGTCTATTAAACGAGCGAAATTTAATAGTGAATTATGAAAACTATGAACGAGTAGGAATTTCGAACTCGTGCCTTCATCTTTTCTCACTTCCCAAGGAGTGAAAAAACCTTAGTACTACATTAAAGTTAGTTTAAATAAACCATTTTCGATATATTAATTCTAACTTGGTTACGAGGCTTAGCGGAACAAAACAAAAGAACTAAATTATTCATTCCTAAACCTCAATACGATTTCTTTTGTTTTATTCCCTCAAGCCTCGGAGCCAAGTTAGAACTTTTAATATATCGAACTTGGCTTATTCAAAGAGTATATTCCAGAATTAACTGAGAGTAGGTATTTCAATTCTTGACAACTTTTCCGGCGCTCTAGATTCATTTCCAGCCAAATAAGGACTCACCCGAATACGTGTCCTTCACTGGATCAAGACTGGAATAGTACACCCACGTGATGCACTGTGCGTCATTTTTGGTGGGACCCACTTCCTTGGGCACTGTCCAGCGATAGGTGTACATCTGGCCTGGTCGCACAATATCGTCGGCTTTTTGGGCCCCGGATGTACCATCCTGGTACCAGGCTCCCTCGTTTGACTTATTGAAGAACACTCCGTGTGGTTGTATACTGTAGTTGTAGGAAGCCTGCGCAAGGAATAAAATCAAAAGTAAAACAAACGAACAAAAATATTGCTTATTAGAGCTTTTTTAAAAACAAAAACCAACAACCAGCGCATGACACAGTTCATATTATGTGCACGCTCTGATTGGCAAGAACAGACCGTTTTACTTATAAAAAAAAAACACACACACACACACACACACATACACCCAGAGAAAGAAAGTTAATGGTCGGCATTGGGTCAAGATGAACCGTGCCGCCGCGGAGCGTATCTCAGATACCGTAGCCTGAAGCGACTAGGAGTATTTCTATCCCTCCCCCCCGATGGAGTGCTGGTCCGTCGCAGGGTTATCCCCCAGCATTAAATTCACCAGTACCCATTTATACACCTGGGTGGAGAGAAGCACTGTGAGAGTAAAATGTCTTTCCCAAGAACACAACGCAATGACCCTGGCTAGGGCTCGAACCCAGAGCTCTTGATCCTCTTGAGCCATGAGGCCATCGCACTTCTTAGTCAAACACGAAAATCCTACTTTTATTGTTTTCGTGCACGTACAACATCTGTATCATAAAGCATACAATGAAACCAAAGCCACAGAACCTACATTGTTCTTGAAGACTACTTCGATCACATCGCCAACTTCGGCTCGAATAACCGGGCCGAGGAATCCAAGATACTCCGGTTTTCCCTTTTTTGTTGTAAAGGTGCCGTCAGTGTACTCCTCGTAAGATGCTTTCAGGTACGTTCCTCCAATCCTGTGATCACCTTGAGCAAAGAAAACTGCCGAGTCGCTAAAACGAGAAAGGAAACAGGCAATTTACGGGAATGTGCGAGAGACAAAGGGTCTCTTAGTAAAGACGATCAGATAAATTTTGAGATGCTGTGGAAAGAAGGTGTTTGTGTGTTTGTTTGTTTGTTTGTTTGTATTAATTGTAAAGCAATCGGGCAAACCAAACAGGAAAGAAGCAAACGGACGCTTAAAAATTCTTCATGGGCGTCGATTTCTAAGAATAAAACCCCATTTTGTCCCATCCACTATCATACTGGCCTTATGAA